CCCACCCCCACATGTTTAACCTTGAGTTGTATTTTTCCTCCTGATGAATTCAGTTACACATTATAACTAGCAGCGTGAAAACGCCGGCTTCATCACAATAACACTCCCCATTACTGTCACACCCGTTGCTTCTAATGGAAAGAGAACATCTTTTAAAAGCAGAATTTGCATAAATCTTGACAACTTGTGCAACTTTTCCAGTCTAACTTCGGTACGCGGGCAGTCAGACACCCCTACGGAGGCACCGTCAGCAGACTCGCGCCATGTCATGCGACAAACGGGCTCTTTGCAATCCCCAGAAGTGCACACCCTACAGGTCTGGGTGGGAACTGCAAAATAAAAAAAAAAACTGAAAATGAAAAATCCATCCATCCATCCATATTCCAACTGCCTATCTTGGCCAGCATGGTGTTAGAGGTTGGAGGGGGGCTGGGCTGGAGCCTCCCAGGCAGAATAGAGGAGACAAACAATGAATGTGAAAAATGAACACTGTGAACCCATCAGAAGGTGAGAAGAAGGCCATGTGGAGATGGACTGTGATTTGTTTTGGTGATGGAGGGTGTGTGAAGATCAGAGAGGTCAGGTACGGGGTGGGGGGGACCATGGGCCTTTTATCTGCACACATGAGAGGGCATGTGTGTGTGTTTTGGGGGGGACACAGAGAGACAGAGCGAGTGAGTGAGGGAGTGAGAGAGAGCGAGAGAGAGAGAGTGAGAAAGAGCGAGAGAAACAGAGAGAGAGAGGGAGGGAGGGCGAGAGAGAGAAAGAGAGAGAGAGAGAGAGTGTTTGGAACTTGCAAGGAACTGTGATTTATGTCTAGCAACTTTGATCTCCTAAAAGGCTGTAAGATTTACACAACAATAATTCCTCTTGGCCCAGTTTAAATAAATGATGTGTCAGGGACTGGAGTCCAGAATAGATTTTAATAGACTGATAGGCCGTGCAGTGGGAGAGAAAAAGAGTGAGGAAGTGAGAGAGACACTGAAATGTCTCTCTGTTTAGATACTTCATTACCGGCCTTCGCTTCTTAATGTTTTGTACATATTTATTCCCCTTTATGACTGACATTGCAGCTTTAATTCCTACATTTGTGTTCTGTGGGTTATTTTTTAATAAAATTAAGTGGGATCATGTGGAGGATCATATACACACATCCCAAAACCAGAGAGTGTTCTAGAAATGTAGCTAATGCTGGTAAAAGGAGCAGAGAAATGGGCAGAAATGCCGGGGCAGGAAGCAGAGGGCTTGTGTTTGTGATGCTGTCTCCCCCCCCCCCCCCAGCCGTTGGCGGACATGCTGAAGACGATCGCACCACGTTAAGCAGTCCAACGCACGGAGGCCGTCTCGGCAAAAGAAGACTGGCTCGCATTTTATAAACAGAAATGCGGAGCACATGCTGGGAAGGGCCGCGGTCCCGGGAACGCCAGAGATTAGGGAGAACAAACGGAACCGAGAGGGACAGCGCACGGCCAGGCCGGGCCACTCGGGGGTTAAAAGTGTAGGTACCATGTATCCATCTGCCGGACACCTCCAGCTCCGCTCGCCACTGCTTTCGGCTCTTATCTCCCTCCCCCCCCCCACGTTTTCTCAGCTGGGACCGCCTGTCAGAGCAGAATCCCCTCCAGCTGGCTGCCTGCGATGGATGACCTTCAGCAGGCCACGGATTTGGTTTTAATAACAGTTAGTACAAACACTGTTAATTTATGCCTGGGAGTGAGACTCCAGGAAAAGACATCCAGCTCTGGCAGTGGCCATAACTCGTCCCCCCCCTGCTCCTGAGCTGCCTTTGTACTGTGCAGCTGGTTGTACTCAGCCCTCGCCCTGACACGGTACTTTGAAATAGCAATCACCACATTTATACTGCGGGAAGGACTCGTAAATGTGTCAGGAGGAGGGATATACGATGCCATTTTTCACGTTTTTTTCTATTTTTAAACGCTGAGTTATGGCCAGAGAAATGTGTACCCATTAAAGGTGATATGATGTATTTCCCACCGTGTACTGAAGATCATTCATCAAGCGGCACGGTAAAGAAAACTGCACTCATTTCTTCACCTTCCCCTCCTGTCTCGCTCCCACTCCCTGTCCGTCTGTCTCTCCCCTGCGTAATTTATGACCCCCCCCAGCACTGACACCCTTTGGCAGGCTCAGAAGTAGCTTCTACTCAAACGACCATTTGTAAGGTTTCTCACGCCTTGGGCCCCAGAGTTTGGGAACAGACACAGAAAATCCATCCATCCATCCATCCTCTAACTGCTCAACCAGGTCAGGACCAAATGTGGGGTGGGGGCACAGGGCACAGAGCAGGGATAAACCAGAAAGGAATATCAGGTCAAAATTATTAAGAATAAAAGAAGGAAGGTGACAAAATAAACAGGGAAGTGATCAACAGGAAGAGGATAAACCATGCAGGCAGGCGTCATGGTTAACGTACCTCACTACACTGTGACACCCCATGTCAGCCGGGAGAGGAGTAATCTCTCTGTCAGGATCAGCTGAGGACATATTTCACAGGTGTCATCTGCACCCGAGGCCTCAGAAGAATGCTCAGCAGCAGAAAGGGTGTTCAGGTGGCCAGCAACACGCACTGACATTCTCACAGCACACAAATGTGTGTATGTGTGTGTGTTTGTGCGTCCATGCATAGCAACACCGGTCACACTTGTGTAGAAAGTTGTTCCCTTATTTTATACGATTACATGCTGCGTATTATATTTTTGTGTTAATGTTTTCGTTGTTGGTTGTAATCCTCCATGTACCATGACAATAATTTATGACATTAACTCAGGTTTTTGCTGCAATGTGTGAACCCTAATGAACAATCAGTCATAAAATAATTGAGGCCAGAAATAGAATATTACCTGATTAACCAAGTGAAGTCACATGACAGCTGACTGGCCTACTTAATTATCCTCTTGGGATGTAGCCAGAGGTGACTTTTCTCATGTTAACATTTGGTATGTATAAGACAAACTGATGCAACAGGAGTGGTTATGACCTCAGCAACACATAATGAAAATTGACATTTCCTGCTCCTGATCCTGCTGCTAGTCATAGTTCTTGGCCTGTTTTTAGTCTTAGTCCTGTTCCCGCTCTTGGTCTTAGTCAAGGTCATGCTCCAGATCTTGTTCTTAGTCCAGGTCCTGCTCCTGATGTTGGTGTTAGTCCTGGTCTCAGTCCTGCTCCTGATCTAGGTCTTAGTCCTGGTCCTGTTCCTGGTCTCAGTCCTGGTCCTGATCTTGGTCTTAGTCCTGGTCTCAGTCTTGGTCCTGATCTTGGGCTTCTCCACATATTAGGCTTCCAGCAGCTGATGTGGAGCTCAGTCACTTTGCCCTGTGTTTGAGGTGTCAATTAGCATGAGGTCTCTATAACATGTGACTCTCTACACCTAAGGGTTATGGTGCGTTCGCTTTTCTCTCGGAACTTGGAAATTCCGAGTTGAGTGACATCTCGGAACAAACATGGCTGCCTCCATGAACACGTTGCTGTGTGTTGTTGCTTAATATTTTAGTAGATTTCCAATTTTCCAAATGGAGAAATGGAGATTTTTCCGAGAGACAAACAAGAAACACGAACTAGTCAAACCACATTAAAAGTTTTATAAAATATTTTAGTACATTCATAGCGATATTCTTTTTTCGAACGGCAAACAAACTACAAACAAACCAAGTCGCCATGTTGAAATTACGTCACAGGGGCAACTCGTCTCGGACAACAAAATCTTGTCCGACCTCAACGTCATAAAAGAGGCGTGTTTCCGACGGGAAGTGACGTTTTTCGTGACGTTTCGTGACGTTTTCATCCGAGTTCCGACTCTTGGAGAAATAATCGAACGCACCATTAGGGTTGGACTCCATTGATATAATGTACAGCTCAGGTTCAAACAGAAACCATCTTATCAGATTAGAGTTTGCAAACTTACTTGAGGCACAACCTGACATCGCTCTCAGCTTGAACACTTACTCTATTCAAATTGACTCACTTTTTAATGTGAAATAAATTTTGGGTTTCCAGCAAATTCAATACCCATGTGGGGTTGGGGGAGGGGGTATTGTGGCTGGTGCTTGAAGCACTGCTGCCGCAAACCTCTACCTACATTAACTGGTATGTCTGTAAATCTCAACGCTATTTAAATTAACGTGATTGATTCCCTAAACGTAAAATAATATTATCATGAGTAACTTTTAAATAAATAGAACTAAGTATTGCTTGACTGAAATTAAATCTTACAATAATATTTGGCAATTTACTATATTGATTATATAATTATTTACAGGGAAAAATTATATATGTATATACATACTGTTGTCGGTCAGCCAGCTCCGGATCCGTGCTCCGGGGCTCCAGTCCGGGTTTTCCGCCGCGCCGCGCGGCGCTGACCGTGGGCTGTCAAACGCGAACGGGCAGATTAATGGGGCGGGCGGGGTGCTGTAATAAGCGTTTGTTTGATGTGACATGGCTGATAGGCGCTGATTTACTTACACATTGATGGGCTTTTAATTGAGCGCCTCTATCCGGCCTCACATCAAAGCTGGCGCTGAGGGACACGGCCGGCTGCGCCTGCTCGTCTGCTTTCCTCCCCCCTCCGTGAAGCCGCTTTCCTGGCGATACGGGTGTTTTAAAGCCGTGTATATGCGGTTCAGAAAAGGGGCGTTTTGCGCATGTTTTTCGAGCGCTGACGCCTCGGATAGGAGAAACATAGCAAAGTTATTTAAGACCCATCACACACACGATTCAGATCCCACATGGTTTGAAGCATATTGCTCATTTTTGACACGTGGGAGTGAAAAATAAATAAATGTACTAAATGTACTGAGATGTATTGAGAAAAGGCAAACCTCTTCATCATCTCCAGCTGGAAGTTACTTTTAGAACTACTTCTACTACCCACAAACATGTTGCTTCCAGTGAAAGTTTTTGAACACTGCATTCTATATTTGCTGGATGCTAAAGTTTTGATGCTGCTGTTAACAGTTACAGTAGCTGTTAGCTAAATGATATCCCTAGACAGACATCATAATTGTTAAAGTACCTATAAGTGGGTGATATTGGTGACTTATTGTGATATGTGAATGTCAGCGTCAGTGCTGGAGGGCGATTCTAAGCATAGAGGACTCAACAGATAGGACTTGGAACACAGAGGACTCAGCAAGAGGACTTGGGGCACAGAGCAGTCAGAGCACAGCACCGAGGAGTCAAAGCACAGAGTAGTCAGAGCACAGCACAGAGGAGTCAAAGCACAACAAAGTTGTTAGAGCACAGAGCAGTCAGTGCACAGCATAGAGGATTGAGTCAAAGCACAGAGCAGTCAGAGTTGTTAGAGTACAGAGGACTTGGAGCACAAAGCAGTCGGTGCACAGCACAGAGGAGTCAAAGCACAGAGTTGTTAGAGCACAGCACAGAGGAGTCAAAGCACAGAGGAGCCAGAGCACAGCACAGAGGAGTCAAAGCACAGAGTTGTTAGAGCACAGAGCAGTCAGTGCACAACATAGAGGAGTCAAAGCACAGAGCAGTCAGAGCACAGCACAGAGTTGTTAGAGCACAGAGGACTTGGAGCACAGAGCAGTCAGTGCACAGCACAGAGGAGTCAAAGCACAGAGTTGTTAGAGCACAGAGGACTTGGATCACAGAGCAGTCAGTGCACAGTGAAGTTAATGCACAGAATAGTCAGAACACAGATGATTTGGAGCACAGAGGAGTCGGAACACAGTGGAGTCAAGGCACAGAGTAGTCAGAACACAGATGATTTGGAGCACAGTTCAGGTGTCACTCGGTGACACAGTGGTCCTACGAACTGATACCTCAGAGCTCATATTGACTTAGTGTAATTACACTGTTAGGATTGACTTGTGCCTTTTGGTCGCCCATCAGCTAATCATCCTGTAAGGCTGAGGAAGCCGGCATGTCCTGCCCAGCTGTCAGAGCCCCAGCTCCTTTGTCGTGTCGTGAGCGTTTCTGACGTGTATGAGATCTGCGCCGTCTTTGAATCCCAGGAAACCCCAATAAAGAACTCCCAGTGACTAAAGTAAACAGCTCGTTTGTCTGAAGGCTTGTGATGAGCAAGGACAAAAAGCAATGGAGCATTTTACTCTGTGACATGAAGCCTGTCTTTGGAACAAAGGTTTTCACTTCATCATCCTAGTCCAAGACAATGTCAGATTATGAATATCAGTGATGACAGACGTTTCTCACGCTGTCAGTAGGACTGGACCGGATTAACACTGTAAAGACTTGTTTACTGAGCCCTGAATTTGCAGTTAATTCTCCAGCAGCCTTGACATTTAAAAAAAAAATGATCATCTGTGCTAAGGAATTTCATAGATGGTCTGTATTTCTATGGTGACGAGTGGATTCTTCGTTTGGCGTGTGTAAATTCAACACTCTCTTCGGAGGGGACAAAATCTGAAGCTCAATTAAACACCAAGAAACCCTCCTCTGTTATCCGGAAGTTTGCGAACGTGGCGTCGTAAAGCACAATCTGCCATTTCCACCCTGGGGACTGGCGGCAGCTGCTTGCTCCTGGACATGAAGCACCACTGCTTCCGCCTGAGGGACTCGCAAGCTGAGGGGCAACGTCTGATGTCTGATTTACTACTTTTTATGGCATCAGAATAATTTACTGTTTTCTCGTGGTGGTGCTGCTGGAATTTCGCTGGTCTTTACGAAGTTCCGAAAATGGCGTTCCCGCTACCTTTGGAAGTGTAAAAACGTCTGGAGGAGACGATGGGTTGGTGTTCCTGTCTGGCGCCGTTACCACAGTCAGGACAAAATATGGAGATATATATGAGCCTGGAAAGGAGTTGATGATTTTAGTGAGCGCTTGTGAATGCCACTCCTTGTTCAGCTGGACGTGAGGAATGTGGACTAAATAAAAACAAAACTCTTGGCTTGTGGGGCCTTTAAATCACCGTCCTCCAGTGGGGGAGCACAGAGAGGCGATGTTTACACGCTGCTGCGGACGGCTGTCAGCACTAACGTCCCGGGCAGGTTTTACCACTAAAAATGCCACTTGGAAAGAAATGAAAGAATAACATCAAATGGATTGGTCACCTGCTACCCACAGAGATCAACAAACGGAAGAATGAGAGATGGCGAGGAAAGTAATCCTACAGATGAGTGATTTCGAATTCACTGGATCCTGGGGACCATCTGGCAGGTCAGGGAAGTCAGCCTCTCCAAGCGGACCCCTGAACATTAGCTACATCCACAGAGATGGAGCCCCCATCAGGCCAAAGCAAACCCCCAGCACCCCCCCACCTTGTGACACGGTGACACTCTGTGGCGTGGATGGACTGACAGTCCACTGGAGCAGCTGATTTACGCGTCAGCCACTCTCCGAAAATCTGTGCTGGCTTCCACTTGATTACGATTTCCGGAGAACGTAGGACGTAACAAACAGGACCCCAGTCCCAATTTCTCCATAAATCAGCCACAGAAAAATAACCATAAGTGATTTACCTTCATTTAGCTCTGCCCCCGCCCCCCTCCCCCTTCCTCTTCTCTGGGTCTGTGGTGTCACAAACACTTCCGGGCACCGTGATGAATCGCTTTTGGATTCACTGAACCGCCAACAGGATGTAAGGAGAGAACAGCATTAGGCTGCATACTTGCAGAGAAACAGAATCAGTGCAGCCCAAAAATGACAAACATAAAACTTCCGTATCTGTCCAGATACACATACTCTGTCGAGGAAGTCTCACTCATTAGACCTCTGTTTATAGAGCTCGCCTGCGGCACCTTCTTGAAGTCGCCGGAACTTTCACAACAGAGGCTACGCTGGGATTGTGGAATGCAGCAGCATGACCACAAAAACTCCAAATCTTCAAGTTCACATAGCTTAGTAGCGCTGACACAGAAGCGGTAAAGCAGGACGCCGCGTCCTGTTTTATACTGTCTTTATTCCTTGTTTCTCTGGTACTCTATGAGGTAGTGTTGACATTTTTACGATATGAGTTTTTTCCAATGGCTGGAGAAAGGTTGTTAAAGTAAATGTTCAATGAATACCTTAAAAACAGCCATTTTATCGTGTTTATAGACCAGACATAGATGTGTTTTGTTTCTTTACCTGTCCAATAGCTGTATGTTCTATACAATGCACCACACTCACGGTATCACCGGCCAACACCTACCCTCATTTTCACTCTGTTCCTGTCATGTGCTTCATACATGTTTGTGTTTATTTTCTACTTCTCTTATGAACTCCACTGTCTCTGGGGGAAAGGGGGGGGGGGGGGGGGGGTGTCGCAACAGGGATGAATTCCTCTGACAAAAAAAAAAACCCAACAGGAAACAGCAATCCGTCAGAGACACGCCAAAGCAGCTGTCACCATTCTGCTCCTGGGCAGAATAAAAGGAGAATCCCCCCCCCCCCATGGCCGTAGTGAGCCAGTACCCATCTCCTTACATTGACCCTCTCACAGCCTTTCAAGTTCACTTAATGTCATACTGACAGCCTGAAACGTAATACTTTAAACAGTGAAAAGAATCCCGACTGTGTTTCACAACACGAGCGGTAGAAGCCAGCCCGGACAGCTCGGCCCATCTCGCTTCATACCGTTACACTTTCAGTTTGGGGAAGGCGGGTGTAATTATTGCTGAAACGTACACGCAAGGCGTGCTGAGTACCTCAGCCATAACAAACACTTACACCGAAGCTGACCTTCAAAATTCGAATGTAGGACAAACGCCGTGTCCTGATTTCACAAGGACATCCTAGTGGATACGTTCAAAGTAGGGTACAATAAAGCTGCTTTTATAAACGCGAGGGCAAACGATTGGGCGTGAATCACCTGAACGGTGTTGGCTCAGGTTCTAGGGCCAGACACAAACACCGATGTATGCACACTCACGCACAGCGGGCAAAGACAAGTTTCTACCAGTTAAGTGTAGCTCTTTGTATGGGATAAGATCCAGTCGCCCTTATCTTGAGGTAAGCGGCGACGTTAGAATTCCCCGCTCTTCAGGTTTTATGAGTTTATTCAGGTGTTGATGGGAGAATGAGCAGCAGACAGTGCCGTCGGTGTTTACAGGCCAAACATTGAGCTTATCGGCCACAGGAGAACCGGCTACGCCACACACCCAGCCCATCTCCTGGGAGCAGACAGATTGAGCTGGCCGTCCATCCCGGCTTCGTGCTTTTTGACACCCAGTGATAAGCTAGTGCTGACCTGCACGTCGCCAACCAGCCTTGAAGTCTCTCCACTTCAGTTCTGAGCGACGAAGGGATTTAAAAGAGGTGCTTAAGGTTTCAGGCTCCAACAGACGTGTTGGCTAGCGTACACGGTACGACGAGGTGCCGTGAGAATGGACCTCATGATGCATCCGTAGAAAGGCATTCGGATCTTCTTCATCCATCTGAGGAAGTAATGGCCCAATGAGGATTCATTATCACTTCTGTTGTGCAATTAAGAGTGTGAGGAGCGTTCTGCTTCCTGATGTCAATGACCAGCTCCTTAGACATGTTGATCTTCACAGCATCCCCACTTACGTAGATGGAAGAATGAGGAGCCTTCTGCTTCCTCGATGACCAGCTTCTCCGTGCTGCTGATATTAATGAAGAGGTTGTTCCACTAGCACCACCCCAACCTCCTCCCTGTAGGCCAGTTCACTGTCATCAACACACTTGATGGTGGTGTTGCAGCTGTGTCTGTTTGGGTTTGTGTTTGGAGCTTTAAGGTCCAAGCACAGCAAACTGGGAAATCTGGCCATTTAGACACTGGGCATGGAGCTGGAGATGGAGGGACCGCTGATGGTGGGACCTAACTGTGTGATGTGAGAGCAGCAGGTGCCTGAGCTCCACATTCAGGCTACTGGTTAGACACACATATGTGCTGGGACCAAATAACAGCTATTTATCATAACAGATGATAGTTAACCAGCATGTAGCAAACAAAAACAATCCCGGAAGATCTGCCAAGGCAGACTGCTTGACAGTCAATGAGTAAATAGGAATGTTGCATATGGTCATTCGTCCAATGGATTTCAGTTTGAATTAAAATTTGAAATAATATTAGTTTTTCCAACACGTCCTTGCAATAGTGGTTCAGGCAAGTGGTAACCCTAACCCTAACCCTAACCCAGACTCTTCCCATAAACACACTTTACTACAAACTACACAGAAACTACATTTTACATACTGTTCGCGTTTATTTCATGTACTGCACTGCAGATAGGAACTCGTGACCCAAGACTTTCACTCACTAGTTCACTTGTTCTAGTGACGAGACAATAAAAGTGATTTGATTTGTACTAAATGTACATTTCACACTAAACTTATGAACCACGGTCGATCGAAATGTGAAACGCAGGTGTCTGGATGCCAAGGAAGCCAGACGCTCCGTAGACTGATCCGCACGGCTTTTGAAACAGCCTTCCTGCATCTTGTCTCTGGCAGTAATGACAGGCTCCCCTATCAGTTTCAGTGTTGAACTGTCAGGCTCCTCTGAATCCTGGCTGCTATGAGGAGTGAAAAGCAGGTTACACCGTATGTGCAGAGTACAGAGCAGGAAATGAAACAAAGATATACCTTTGAATTTTAATGAAGATTAAACAAACACTATAAAAATCAACCATTTGGTTCAGTAAATATGATGAGGAAAATGTGAAATTAATACACAATGGTGGATTTTCCCTTCAAGACAAATACTGTAACCAGAGAGAATATTAATAATACAAAGCCACAGGTTTTCACATGCTTGTACAGTAGGGAGATCACTGTTGACATCTCAGCCCTTTGGCTGTGTGATTAGGTATGCAAATTATGCATGACTGGGTACTAATGCAGGATTATAGCACTTCAGCGAGTGCTTATTAATGAATGTGGTGGAATAAAAGCTGAAAGATGAAGATGGCCCTGCTCCTTTCTCCAGCGGCCACGGTGAAATGTGATAATGTGGTATTTATGTCGTCTTTATTCTGACGTTTTCACATGTGACGCCAGGACACACTGCTTCTCTGGGACGGCTGCAGTTGTACTGCCCTGTATTGTTGGGTTTCTGAGGGACTGTGTCCACACACCTATACCCAGGCTTCAAATCTAGTTCCTACATGCAATCCTGGAGTATCATCACCTGACTATCTGTTAGCTTGTTGACTGTATCATGCCAAGGAGTCTACTGGGAGGAAACTTTGATTTTGGACCAAACATAAAAATCACAGCTGACATTCAGCATTGCAGACAATTTACCTGTGCCCTTCTCTAGGCCATGCAAGAAACACCACAGACTATCTGGAATAAAAGCCCCTGAACTCACAGCCCCCACTCCCCCATTCCACTCACACCGTTATTCTCCGTTTTGCACAGAACAGGGCACAGCAATCACCATGACAACCCTTGGAATCACAGGGCACTAAATGACTGTCACCTTCATTTGCTACCAAAGACGCAGAGTTCAGAGGTAATTAGGGTCACTCCCCCTAAAAGAACTGCAAAGAACTGTCTTATACTTCCGACTAAATGCAAATAATTTTCTTAAGGTTTTTCCATGATATATTACCTCTTAGCAAATTGTAACGCCAGCAATTTATAAAATGTTTTCTTTAATGTACTTTTCTGTGAAGCCATAGTAATAAAAAATCAGGGATCCTTGTCATTGAACTTAACGGGCCAGTTGAATGTTGGGTCTCATTGGAGAGCCGGGCCCTGAACCCAGTTGGAACTGGTTCAGTTTACGCAGGCATTCATTCGGTTCTGTAGGATTCTGAAAAGTTCCAAAATAATTTCAATAAATAATTGAGTACCCCTGAACTGAAGGGTACCTGGTCGCTCATCAGGCTGCTGGTGAGTTTGTTGACTGACATCAGTTTTACTGTTAATGTCACACTCATACTTATCAAACTTAAAAGCTGCAACAGGTTTGAATCTTGAACTGAAGAATACGACCCAGAAGTTACACAGAATTCCAGCACTCTGAAGATCCTGGCAGCAATTTCTAAAAACCGCAAGCGTATGTGCGGGGATCTGAGAGCAATGATTCGCTGCGAATGATCAGTCTGTGTGAATCAGGAATTGACCCTGGCACCATCATGGCTTCATGCGTTTGCTTAGATGGACGTAAGAGAGACAGACACAAAGAAGATGGACATGAGGGTATGAGAAAGACAGACTGTGAGGTGAAAACTGGCAGCCCTGTGGAAGTGCTGAGGAACAGAATTCTGGGAAACAAGTAATGGAGGCAGACATAGGGTGAAGTCAGCACTCCACCCAAGCCATGGAGGATGGAATGCAGCACAGCAGGGCAGCCCTTTCTGCTGCGGGGAACGGGGGCTCCGTTTACTGAAGACACTGGCATCTGCTGATTCAGAAACCGGCGCTGAAGCACACACGCGTGAAACCACAGGCGGGGAAAACAGGCAATCAGAGGACTTTCCTGAAGCATCCGAGGACAGTGCAGGCATCCAGCCCTAGTGCTGCCACAGAACCTCCGACGGTCCACAAAGAACCGATTAATCTCGTTTCCAGTTCTACCCTGGGTCAGTGCTCGTGCCCGTTAAGGTCGGATCCATCCAAAAATAGCAGATGACCTTGGGAGTGAGGAAAGGGAGCGTGGTCACAGGCAGCCGGGTGACAACCTGCAGACATCGTAAAGAAGCACGATGCTCCGGAAAGGCTGTGCAGGGACGAGGAATCCCAGCTCGCTATTAATCAAGCGCCAATTCAGACTAAAGTGTAACAAAACCTCAGCTTGAACTTCAGGCTACCCATGGGTTAGGAGCTGCAGAAATGTCTAAGTTATATGGGAATGTCTGTTTTTTTCACCCATTACCAGCGATATGCACATTTTACAGCTTCCAACAACAAAGGATGCAACGTCAGCAAAAAACAAAAATAAGTCACGAAATTTGCCCATGAACAGTCACAATGAAATGAATGCTTTGGAAACATACAAACGTTATTTTGGTGAATAAAGTTAGTGTATTTCAACAAATGTTAACGAATGGTAACCATGAAAAGTGCTCCGTGCTGAATAATCTGCACAATGAAGTAATTGGCAGACTAAAAACGGTAGGCCTAGCGAATAGGCTAATATTAATGCGAAAAGGTGTCAAGAATGACAGCAGCGACCAGTATGATAACAATTTGTATTATTAAACTTATTAATAATTTTTAAGTCAACCATCAGTAACGGCAATAACATTTTACATTAAAACTATAAATATAGGAGACCATTTAGGCGTCACGTTGCGGGGGAAGCGAGCTTTGAAATTTCGTCTATTGGTCATGAGTGATAAGGGATTTTAAAAATAATTCGCCCACAACTCAAGCATTTTCAGCATCAAAGCTGTTCCGACTCCAAGCTGTTTCTAATAACTTCCGCCAGGCGTGATTTTTATGAGATTTACCTATTTCATTGTATAATTAGGTTCAGCAAAATTACCACATTGTACAATCTGGCAAAAATAATGTAATAAAGTTGTTAACAATCCCGAATCATTGAGTAGGCGGGGTCATACTCTTTCCCCGGAACCTCTGAATTTACTCAGAAATCATTTTAATCGAAAAAGATTTCCCAGCTGACAGATAACCTGCTGATTTAGGGATAAATGTAAAGAATAAAAAAAGTATTTACTTTCTGCAAGTTACAAAACGGGACTGGTGAAATTGGACAGCAGAATTAATGTGTACAGTTTTCCAAGTTACAAAAGAAAGCAAGTTATTATAGAAGTTTTGAATATTGCAAATAAGACATTGCCACGTCAAAGTTTCATGTGTTAAGGGAAGATAGCAGAGACAATTAAATAAGGTCATGAAAGTGAAATGCATTTCAAGGTGACTCCGTTTATAAATTATGTGATGGGGGATACACAGATGGCGCACTTGACAGTGCTTGATGAATAGCGAGGGGAGTATTTTTTAACGTTACCACTGAGGTCAAGGTACTTCAGTAATAAAAGTAAGTAAAAGTCTAGATATTTTAAGTTGTAAGAATTGGGAAGAGGGAAACCAGATGTCCCGGTATCTGTTATCCTCTGCTGACACCCTGCTTTCCCCCTTCCGAGCTAAATTCACTTCTTCTTCGCTCTTGCGCTGCGGTTCAGCAGAATCCGACCCAAGCCCGAGATGCCGACTTGGGTCAAACACAGATGTTTTCTAGCGTGAACAACTGTTCTCATGTATAAATGAAAATCTGAAATGTAAAGCAGGCCATCCGGAAATTACAGATGTTGGGGACAAGAGGGTCAAAACAGCTGAAAGAATATCATGGGGGAGCGAGAGAGAGAGAGAGAAAGAGAGAGAGAATAATGGTTGAACGCCCCGCCCTGCAGGGAGCAGCAGCGAGCTCCTCATTAGCGATGCCGCTCCCGGATTGGACAGCGGCTGCTGGCTTTGAAGTTCCCCTTCAGATCTCCGATATTTGAAGTGTTCATGGTAGAGGGGACGTGTGTTAAGAGAGAGTCCGCAGGAGCAAAGGGGACGTCCGCGTTTGGGATTTCTTTCGCTTTCCATTTCCTTTCCCGTCTTTCTCCTTTCTCTGTTTTTTGGATTTTTTTTATTTCCGCTGTCAAGCGAGGACGGCGGCGACGGGCGGGTTTCATTACGGGGAAGACGGATTGGGACACGCAACCATGAATTTGTTTTTTTCTTTAGGGTAAAAATACACAGTCGTCTGCTTTTATTCGGCTGGGACCGCGCTAAGAGAGCCCCGGGGATGCTTGGATTATAAAATACGATCTGCCAGGAAGGTTATTGTGCCCGGTTAATAATGATTCGATAAATGCATCCTAGATCACACCCTGCCGCTTCGCCCTGCTCCAAATGAACGATCCTCCTGGTCCATCTGAAGGCAGACAGACAACCCAGCGCACCGGCAGCGACGGCGACCGGAGCAGCGGCGTTTGCTCCGCAGTCAAAAGCTTTTCGCCCCCTTTACTGTGTCCCTCGGATCCTGCGCGTCAAGCCAAGCGGTTGCCAGTGCGGATCCTCAAGATGCTGACCGCCCACACCGGCCACTTGCTGCACCCAGAGTATCTCCAGCCCCTGACCTCTGCTCCGGTCAGCATCGAGGTAACGGTCCGGGTCCGGGTCCGATTCCGCCGCGTCTCTCACCGATACCCCCGCCCTCGGTGCCGTACACTTTCACTCCTACATCCCTGTTTTCTGCAGTAACTTTCCTCATCAAACTGTTTTTTTTTTTTCTGTCGTTTGGCTGAAATCAGGAGTGGCTGTCCGGGACCACGCAATCCTTTCCGCCGCATTTTTTTTTGGGGGGGGGGTTTATCAATGTTCATTTCCCCACCTCTAAATGTTGTGCCTGGCTATTTATTCACATTACCGAAAAAATGTTTTAATTTAAACCATCGATTAATTCCCATACGATTCCGCGCACTTTTGCTTACGTTTGCTGTTGGTTTTTTTTTACCTTTCCTGTTATACGCCCTGTATATATGCACTACAGAAATGGTCACTGTACCTTTTTAGTCCATTTTGGTGTTATTATATAGAAACGTTTTCTATCCGCAGAGCGTGCGGGGTTTTTCTGCGGAGAAGCTAAAGAAAGTTGGGCAGTGAGGTCATTATAATGGGCGCATTGAGTGCCGCACCAAACGGGATGGGCAGTCAGCCTGTAATGTAGCCTCGACTTAGGATGTTTGTACCTCTGCTCTGTCCCGTGGTATTAATGACCCCCCCACACCTCTTTTTCTTTTTTTTTTTTTTAATAATATAATTTTTATTTGGAGACACATTCCTATGCGCACGCCGTGCGTTTGTGCTCTGGCGCAGCCCTGTGGGTAGAAAGGGCGACTTGCACAAGGAAATGCAGAGCAGAAAGGCCAGCTCGCCCTTTCCCTGATTTATGTGCTTCCTGAAAGCGCTGCCAGTAACAGCCTGACGTAATTTAATGCTTGCGAGAACAACTGCGCCTAATGAATACTCTGCAGTTCGCCTGGTGTCCGCCATCGCTGCCTTTTAACCGCTTCCGTCCTCAAGACGTCCTTGGTTGTTGTTAATAAGAAATGGAGTTTGGTATTTACTGGGGTCATTGAGTAAACCGTTTTCTACCGCCTCTTTGCAGCTAGATGCCAAGAAGAGCCCTCTGGCCCTGCTGGCACAGACTTGCTCGCAGATAGGCAAGCCGGACCCACCTCCCTCGTCCAAGCTGAGCTCTCTCACCTCGGGCGGCCTGGGTGACAAGGAGCCAGTCAGCCGTTCTTCCACCTCCGCCCTTAAGGTGACGGAGCAGCACCAGCCTCTGGACGACAAGTCCAGCTTCAAGCCTTATTCCAAGGTGAGCGGGGAGTGTCGCAAGGACCCTGGGGGCGCTGGCGGCAGCACTGAAAAGGGCGGCTTTCGGGTCCCGAGCACCACCGGAGCCGGCCCCGTTTCTGCTCCGCCCTTCGCCCCCCACACCCTCTCGCCGAACAGTCGGGTGGGTTCGCCCCCTCAGCGGCCCCAGTCACAGACCCCCCCGTCCCAGCAAACGCAGCATCCACAGGCCCTGCATTTGGATTCCAAGCCACCAGGGGCAGAACCGAGCAATTCAGAGAGCAGTGGTGGCGTCAAAAAAGAGGCGGAGCCCTGCAAGTCCAATCTGGAGGGCGCCCAGCTCGCCAACTCCAGCAGCACCCGCGCCAGCGCCAACGGCAGCAGCGGCAGCTCAGCGGGCAGCCCGCACCACGAGGGCAAGGTGGACGTGCACGCCCCGCCGTCTGGCCTCAGTTCCGGACATGTGGCTCCTGTCTCCCCCTTCAAACCAGGCCATTCGGTCTTCCCCCTGCCGCCCTCCAGTATGGGTTACCACGGCTCCATAGTGGGCGCATATGCAGGCTACCCCTCTCAGTTTGTGTCTGGTTTGGACCATACCAAGTCTAGCTTGGTGGGAGGGGGGATCGGTGTCCCGGGAAAACACCCCAGCTCTAGCCCCCTCACTGGGGCTTCGCCCCCATCCTTCATGCAAGGCCTGTGCCGCGACCCCTACTGTCTCGCCTATTCCAATGCCCCCCACCTAGGAGGCAACAGCTGCTCGTCTTGCATCCATGATCCCTCTGCACTCAAGTCCCAGGGCTTACACACCCAAGGCTTTCCATTGGTTTATCCCAGCCACCCGCTGCATCCCCTGCACCCCAGCTCGCTGTCGTCGAGCGGGACGCCCTCACTCTCCCACCCGCTCTACAGCTACGGCTTCATGCTGCCCAACGAGCCCCACCCCCACGCCTGTAACTGGGTGTCGGCAGGAGGCCCGTGTGACAAGCGCTTCGCCACGTCCGACGAGCTGCTGACCCACCTGCGCACGCACACCGCGCTCCCCGGCATCGACGGCAAGCTGCTCTCCGCCTACCCCTCCTCAGTCTCCTCTGCCAGCTCCTGCCATCTGCACCTGCCCCCACCGGGCAGCCCCGGCTCCTTCTCTCTGCGAGCCCCACCCAGCCTGGGCCTGTCCCGCTACCACCCGTACAGCAAGGCCCACCTGCCTGCGTCCGCCTCGCTGCCCGTGCACTCGCTGCCCGCTGCTGCCGCCCCCTATTACTCCCCCTACGCCCTCTACAGCCAGAGACTGGGCTCTGCATCTGCCCTGGGCTATCAGTGACACATGCCGGACTCTCTTTGCAATTTTCTGCAGGTGCGCCCTGGGTCCCATGCCCGCACGCTGTGCTGGGGCGCCCCCCGGTGATCCCGGGGAGGAAATGGACGCAGGCGGGCCTGACTCGAGGCGTGTGAGATTAGCTTTGTCTGATTTTTTTATTTTTTTGTTGTTTTTTTTTACATGTATTTATTTTTTACTCAGCGCTTGGATTTTAAGGTGGGAAATTTATTATCCAAAACAATCCTAAAATTCTTATGATGATGATGGTTATGATAGATATTATAATGATACCCTTTTATAAATAAAGTCTAACAGTATGCAACACAATGAACCTGCACTCTGGTTCCTTGAATTCCATTCTTAACCACCGCCTTCTGAAGTTCTGATTTATTATTTTTTTTGTTCTGTCCCTGCGATACAGGTAGTGTGCATGACCTCGCTGATGTCACACGCTCACCTCCGGGTTCTTAAAAATGCCATTTATTTTTGATTTGTACAGGACAATATAGGGGGAAAAAAAAAAGATGTAATATTTTTTTGTAACTGTAATGGAGAGAAGTCCGGGTCGACTCATGGAGGGAGTCAGACAAACTCTGAAGCGATGAAGATGCTGTCCGTTTGATGGGGAAGGTCTTATTTTGTTTAATAAATGATTCCTGATTATATTTAATAGGTGTTGTTTGGATTTTGTTCCCGGGTTCTGTTACATGTAGAGAAATTCATATGTGCTCCTGACTCATGTGACACAGCCGATCTTGGTCCAGGAATTATCATAATCTGAAGTGGGCAGGCAGAGGGGCACAAACGCCCCCCCCCCCATCCATCACCTTGCTTGTCTTGCTGTCCCCGGTCCCTGCAGTCGAATCTGAGCGCTCCGCAGAAGGTGAGCGTTAGTGTGCGCGGCCGCTTCTGGGGTGACTGGTAGGCCTCACGCGCTCCCCTCACAGCAGGCCGCCATGGACGTGCTCGTCAGCGATATCCAGGGCTGCGGCTACTGCTTCTCAGCACCTCTCCTGGTGGGGGGGGGGGGGCGGATTGACCCCGGCTACATGTCAGCCTTTGTCAAGGAGGTATCCGGTTCTTTCCTGCAGCCCCCGCATGCCCTGCCTCTCCTTCCCGTCCATTTCGCAGAGGAAATGCTGCCCTAATTACTAACGCCTGTTTGTTTCTGCCTCTCGCCAAAACGCTGCCTCAGCACCGGCATCCTTCCACTTCTGGGAAAGGCAGGCCGGTTGGGTTCGGGATTTAACAGCAGCCCCGGGGACCTGAGGGCCTGCTCCACTTGACCCTGCTCCTCACCACTCCGCCAGCGGAGACACGGCTTCTGCAAGAGGGAGATCCTATTTCAGCAACCCTCCTAGTGGTGCTTCTCAGGAAAGGATTCGGTCAGGCTTACAGTGGCTATTAGACCCACCCGGATCCATAATATGACGGGCATGTGTGCGACTGAAGTAGTGTGGACCCTGACGCCTTCAGACAAGGAAGCCTGAAAGCAGGCATAAGCTGACAGAGTCCTTAACGAGCCACCACATCCTCTGCAGCTGCGGTTGGTTCTGGTAGGCCGGAAGGGTTACGACACCCCACTCAGTGATCCAGGTGGATAACTGGGAAGTCAGGAGCGTGTTATACACAGCGAGCCGGAGTCAGATGCTGGCGTGGGTGGAGAGGGCTGGTGTACTAGGAATGGGCCTAAATCAGATACCAAGTTCAGGAATTTTACCCAGGATAATAGTATTCATACATCTAAAAGTAGATCGCTGCTCCTTTCCGGTTTTTAGGGTATGTTTCTCTGCCTTGCGTATTTAATTTTTCAGAATATCTCAATGTAATTTGTAAAATAAAATTTTCCTTTGAACAAAAGCAGAGTTTATATCGATAATTACCAACCCTTCGACAGGCGAACCACAGCACCAGTTCACAGTCACCGGTGAAACTGCAGCTTCGTTTTAATGGCTTCTCAGGAATGTTTTTGAGAATGACGGGGTTTTGTCTCCACCTAAAGGTAACAAATGGGAGTGCAGGGGTAAAAAAAACACGGGAGTTTTGTTTCTTTTCACGTCGCCTGTGAAAGGTCCTGCCACACTGACCAGGATACGCAGCTGAATGATGGATGGATGGATGAATGATGGAAGTCAGAGGGACTGCCACCCCCTTTCCAGGCTTGTTCTTCTGACTTGTGCAGGCAGGAGACTGGAAGGCGCAGTGATGTAGGATTGCTCCGGCTGCCCATCGTCCGCGGCCTCGTTAATCTCGCCACCGCTCTCTCCTGGTTAGCGGCCCAGCTGTGTGCGGTCGGCTCCACACCATGACTCTGCCTCCTCAGCCCCTGGGGGTGGGGGGCATTAATTCTGCCCGGTTTGCAGGGGGCGTGGCAGGACTCGCAAGCAGCCTCCCTGGCGTGGGGGGGTATCGTGGCAGGGGCCCCTCCGGCTCCTGCTGTCGTTGCCCAGCGAGCGGCACCCAGCCACCGCCTGACAGCCCCAGTAATCAGCCATGACAGGATGTGGAGCTGTTTCTCAATTACACGCCAGGTATGCACTTCCTCACCGCGTCCGACGGCCAGGAGGGGGGAAGCGCAGGCACACATGCACATTCACCATGGCTTCCACCGCCGCTCACACTTCATATTCATGAGAAATCAGTGGATGACTCCACCCCCCTGCTCTTTCACCCTGTCCTGCAGTTCGTGGTGTTTTCACGTTTTTCCCAGAGCAGTGCACATTGTGCTCAATGGTACAGCAGCAGGGACCCGTCTTGATATTTTAACCAGCTACCCACCCAACTGATAAACCCTTGATGAGTGATGAATCCGTAAAGGATACAACACTGATTTATCACATTTTTTTGTGCCGCTGATATTTTTATGCAAGTCTGTTCAATGGCTGCTGGTGGTGTGTGGCTCCGCCGGTTAGGATGCTGTATACTTGTAATTGGAAGGCTGCTGGTTCAAATCCCACACTAGCTAGAGTGATTTCACTGTTGGACCCTTGAGCAAAGTCGTTAACCTCCCAACTACTCCTGGGTCATTTGATATTATGTTCCCATGCTTTCGCGAAAAAAGTATGTTGCTTTGGATAAAAGCACATACTTAATAAGATTTAATCTGTTTGTACTGCTGTATGTTTCCCTGACGTTACAGCAGGGATTGTTTTGGCCTTTGAACTAGCAACTTAAATTTCTTGTGTCCATCCCTGCCCCCACCAGGATCATGTGGCCAAGCTGGTATGAGGTGGAGCGTGATGTTACCACACAGCCTCTACGTGTATACACACACACACACACACACACACACCTGCATCAATGAACACAGCAACAGCCCCTCCTTCACCTGCCTCCCCCCCGCAAATCACCTCCGACTCTCCCTGTCACGTCACATGACTCTCCTGATGCGCAGACAGACACCCGTGCCCCCGCTGAGCGGAGCACAAAGAGTCCGTTGTAATTACTGTTCACCACTAATACTGCTGCCATGGGCCCAGCTGGGCTCCATTAGCCGGCACGCTGGGGACACCGCAGGGATGTCAGCTGTCCTGCGTCACATGCGCGGCGCTCATGGAAAAACGTGCCTTGGCACCGGGAACGCGGCAGCGGATCCTCACGCCGCCTGTGCCCGCCGCTGACGGCCTGTGACAGCCCCCCCCCCCCTGCCCTCCCCCCGGAATGAGGCCTCAGCCCCTCCCTCTGGCTGCAGATGCTGACTGAGCCCGACTCGATCCATCACCTCACCTCTCCAGAAGATTGATCATCTCCCCGCGGGCGAAAAGACCGCCGTGATGTAATCGCTTGCCTGAGCACACGCCACATAAAGGTAGAGGCGCCAGTGATTGTGAGCAGAGGGCAGCTGCTGACCGAAGCATGCACTGAATGAAAACTTGATATCAACTGCACTGCAAACAGTAATCTTCACATTTCATCCACGGTATTATCAAAAGCTACATGCCCATATGGGTAAGGTATGATAGGGCAGGGTTATGTAATAATGCTTTATTAAATCCGTATAACTTTTGAGGCAAAAATGAGTCCCTGTCTTATTAAGTATAACTACATCTTAATAACTACATTGCATGATGTTGCATTTTGGGATATCCTTGTTTTATACCTGTATGTCTCTAACATTGTCCCTACCAGCATGGTAACTATTTCATTAATAGCAATCAGGCTGTGGTGCATGTTTACAGCCAGCGTTCTGACAGTATGTGGGGTGTGGGCACACAATTAAACCGTGCTAAGGAATGTCATTGATTGGCTATAAATCCCCTGACGTCCTGACAGCGAGGCTTGTAGACACCCCACTGACTCTCTGTGTTAAGTATAGGTTATATGTGATAAACATAATCACATTATTTAGTGAACATTAAAAGCAGACAGCTTCCCCACCTCCGTGTAAGTTCGACGTGATCATGCCCTGCTTTCCGGCACCTTCCCCCGACCCTGCGAGGTGGGGCTGTGTTCTTCCTGATGAGAAGCACCCAGCTGTAGGCCCCAGGACTTTCCCTCCACCTCGGGAGCCCTGACAGCCGGCCTCGGGCTCCCCACCACTTCCCTCCACGGGGCTTTCAGGGTGGCTGTCTGGGATGTGATTGCCCACCCACAGCATGCATGTAGCCCCTTTGAGCTGAGAAGGGCAGCTATTCAAACTGGGGGAAAAAAAACAACGGGAAAAGTTTTCTTGGGGAAAAATCTCTCTTCCCTCTCCTATGCCGAGCAATCCGCCAAGCCAGGTGTTATGCAGAGTTGTCTCTCTATAATGGGAAGCTGAAACAGTTGTTTTTGCAGTGCTGAGACGCCACAAAGTGCTCCCATTGCCCCCATAAACGCAGTTGTTGTGCATTGTGGAACTGCTCCCTCTCGCCCCTACACCAAGGTAAGAGAACTGTGCCGTTGTTGTATACCTCCATCCTTTCTCTGCAGCGCTGTAACCTAGCTGGAGAGAGGGAGGGGAGGAATGGGGGAGAGCCAGGCAAGCGTACAACAGAGCTGATTATCCAAATACAGTCATTAAAGGGGAAATGTGTTTTTCAAACTGTCAAGATGATTAATGGCTGAGAGAAAATCTGCACAAATGCTCTTGTTTAGTCTAACTGGCAGACGTGATTTTACCCATAGATTTATGGCAGGACTGCGTGCACTGAGTGTGAGGCCACAGTGAGTTTTAGGGAGAGCAGGGATTCGGGGGGGCACAGAAGTTAGACATTCAGCAGAATCCGGCAGATTGGCTTGTACATATTTTTGCATTAAAAAAAAAACTGATGGTAGACCTAGAATAAGTTTGTGCTCTTATGTATTTTTAGCGAGTGCAGGACAAACTGTGATACATCATGTGGCGGCCTGGCTGTAATTAAGCAGAGCTGCTCCAGTGTAGCAGCCATACAGGACAGTTTGTGCGGCTAATTAGCACAAGTGTCCCTCGGAGTTGATATGAATTTCTGTTCGTTTAATGCTGAATTTAACGACACTCCTACACAGCCATCAGGATAATCGCCACAGTGCTCGTCTCCCGCTGATGTGCTTTATATATTCTGATTAATAAACAAAAGAAACTCCCTTTGCTGTCTGTGTCCCTCCATGAAATGAGCCTTCGTTCGCCATTTGCACAGCAACGTAGGAATGCAGCTTTTCACGTATCCCATCATGCACTTCTTTAGCATATATATATATGCTGACAGTGAT